GAATAATACTGTGTGGAAATTTTCTATTAAGACCTTGGAAGAGAAACCATGCAACTTTCCTCAGATTAAGAAAAAGCCATTCAGGGGCGCCTGGGTGGCTCAGTTGGTTAAGCGACTGCCTTTGGCTCAGGTCATGATCCTGGAGTCCCGGGATCGAGTCCCGCATTGGGCTCCCTGCTCGGAGGGGTCCCTGCTTCTCCCTCTCCCACTCCCCCTGCTTGTGTTCCATCTCTCGCTGTCTCTCTCTCTGTCAATTAAATAAATAAATAAAATCTTTTACAAAAAAGATCTTTGTTTAAAAAAAAAAAGCCATTCATTAAACAACATTATAATGCATTAATGACAAATTTGAAAGACAATTTGAGAGTAATCTGACTGCTCTCATAAATGTGTTTTGGTTTTCAGTTTTTTACAGTATTTCTTATATCCACACATAAAATGTTTCTCAGATACAATAATAATGTAATCAAATATATAGTTTCATTTTTATTTTCTTGATTTAATTTTCATACTTGTCTGTATTTCTTTACAATTTTTATTGTTTTACTTATTGATGGTGATGTAACAGTTCAGGGGTAGAGTTCATTCATTCATCCTGTTGACACATGCTTGTTTTCTCCTACTCATGAATAATATTGTGATGATGACATATCAGGTATACAATCTTTTCCTCCCGTTTGGATTATTTTCTCATAATTAATTTCCAAAAGTGTAATTGGGTCATAGTAGTAGTAAACTAGAAATTGTTTTGGCTCTGGAAATCTGTCTTTTCTTTATACCATACAAGTGTAACTCTGTAACTTTTTGTGCACAAATCTATTTCCTTATAATTCAATGCCACGAAGTGGCTTGGGTTAGAATTTTTGTCTTCCAGTAAGATTGTACACATTTACAATAGCCGATAGTTTAGTCAGAAACTACTATGATGGAAAACTATTACCTTCACTCATTTCTCTTTTCCCTGAATTTCACGTAATACATGATTATGCCTCTTTTATGTGATTCTTCAATTACTGTGTATGTTGTTCGTCTTGACAACTAAATTGTAAGCTCTCTGGGGCACATACTGCATGTCACTTTTTTCCTGTCTTTCCCTACAGGACACCTGGTAGGCACTAAAAGAACTTAAAGATTTATATTTCCAAATGGTTGTACTTGCCCCTTTATTTGAAATGGTTTTAATTGCTTCACACTAACTCAAGCTCTCCATTCCTCCCTTAGGTATTTTTGCACCACTTTCAAAGATAAGTAAAGCAAAAGATCGAAGGAAGAATATAGCACACACTTCTTCTGGAAAAGCTGTGCCTCTCATCAGGTCCCAGAAAATTGATGTAACTCATGTAACATCAAAAGTAAACACTGGTAGGTCAAACCAGAAAGTTAAATCTCTTCTTCAGCATTTTTTTTTTTTAAAGATTTTATTTATTTATTTGAGAGAGAGAGAGTGAGAGAGCACAAGAGGGGGGAGTGGGAGAGGGAGAAGCAGACTCCCCGCTGAGCAGGGAGCCCGATGCGGGACTCGATCCCCGGACTCCAGGATCATGACCTGAGCCGAAGGCAGTCGCTTAACCAACTGAGCCACCCAGGCGCCCCTCTTCTTCAGCATTTTTTATTTCCTTTGCAGACTGCTTTATATTTAGTGTGCTTCACACTTTTTTTGTTAGATAACTAGAACCCGAATTTAATAAAATCTCCATCTCACATGTTTTTAAATGTCAGTCATGGTTTATGATTTTGATTCCTGACAAGAGTATTTTACATTTGTTCCTTTCTTTTCTTCCTTTCCTACTACCTGCATACCTTCATCACCCCCTAGTCTAACCTCCAAGCTCAATTTTATACCTCCGGTAAATCCTTATAAACGTAACTAGCTTTATGTTTCTTCCCTATTCAAGAATTTTAGTGACTTCTTTTTAATCAGAAGAAGTCCTGACTCTTTAAACTGGTGGTCTCAGTCCTTCCTGTATATAATGGGGTCTCTGGCTACCTCTGTAGTTGAACTGTGATTTCTTGTCCTCACTCTTCCCAACGTACTTTGTCTCGTGCTATTTCTCTGAGTGCAGTAATTTGACTTCTGCATTTTGAGGCCCTAGCTGTGCTTTACCTCCTTATTTTGATGTTGTTTCTCCAAGAAAACTTCCCTGGGGACCCAGATCACTTTGATGTCTCCATTATGTCCACCCTTGTGTACACTTGTATCCACACCACACAATTATCTGTTAGTTTGGGTCTTGACCTCTGGTTGCTTCATTTGTGCAGATCTTTATCGTCTCAGCAAAATTTTAAATTTTAAATGGACTGTGAGAGTATTTTGGACTTTTGTATTCACCGTAGTAGTACATAGCACAAAATACGTGCTCAGTAAGTACTTGCTAACTTACCAGGGGCTGAAGCAGAAAGGCTTTCTACCATGATTCAAGGATTTTGTCCAAGAATTGGTTGTCCTTTCTGCTCTCTTCTGTTGAGCTATTTGAATATCTCTGTGTCAGTCTGTACTTCATAACTACTATAGTTTTTAACAAATAAATCTTGATATCTAGGAAAGGAAAGCTTCTTAGCTTATTCTTAAACAGTGTCTTGCCTGTTTGGATCGTTATAAATCACACTTCCCTATAAATTTTAGAATAAGCTGTTAAGTTTCTTTAAAAAAATATCTGCTAAAGCTTTATTGGTTTTGCATTTAAACCATAAGTCAATCTGGGAGGAACTGACATCTTTATAATATTCAGCCTTTTAATTGTAAGCTTGGAATATTGCTTTATTTAATTGGGTCCTTTAAAAATACGTCAATAAGATTTTCTAATTTTCTCCACAGCTCTTTTCGTACCAGTTTTGTTAGGTCTGTTCCTAGATACTTCATACTTTTTGGTGCAATTGTAAATGGTATCCTTTTAACCCGAAACCCAGAAGTTCACAGCCATCATGGAAAGAAAGCCCAAAGAGAAGCCCTCCATTCCTGGTCTAGGGATTAGGGAAGGGGTCCTCTACTAGCCAGAAAATGTAGGAAATCCCTTTTTTTATGATAGCTTCCCCCCCTCTTTGGTCCATTCCCAGGCCGGTCCCTGGGTAGTCCTCCATGGTTTAACAGTAGTAGTAGGTGGTGAGGCACCTGAAACCCCATGGGAGGGGAAACTGTGGTCCCAAGAGCAGGGATGGAATCCCCGATAGTTTGTCTTCTGCTTGTTCCCAGGGGCAGAGTCAGTCCTGGGAGACTGCATGACAGAGCAGGGAAACCAAAGCCTAGGCATCCTGCCCAGATATCGGAAAGGGATGCCTCCGGGAGCAAGAAAGTAACAGGGAGACCATGGAGAGCAGGGAGCTCAAGAAAGTGATCTCAAAATGTTGGGTGTGAACTCCTGGGCTTGCTCTCCAGTGGTGCGTGTGTGGATCTGACCACAGGCTTTGGTCTCCGGGGTAGATCGCTGCCCAGGTCCCAGGCACTGCTGGAGGGCGCATCATAGGAGAAAGATCCCAAAAAGTCTTTGGAAACTGAACTGACATTGGAACCACAGGGCACAGAAGGTGGGTAGGGATGTCCGGCCTGAACTGGTTTGGGTTGACTCCTTCATAAAACAAAACAAAACAATAAACATTCTCTGTAGAACTTAAGTAAGACCCAGAGTCCCACAATGTAATATTCGAAATGTACAGGATACAATCCAGAATTGCTCAAAATAGAAAAACCAGGAAAATCTCAACATCTTTCAAGGAAAAAGACAATTAAAGGTTGCCAACCCTAACAGGACACAGACATGACACAGATAAAGACTTTAAATAATACATTAACCATTCTTTAAGAATTAAGGTTAATACTCTTGAAATAAGTGGAAAGAAAGTTCAGAGAAATGAGGATATAAAAAAGAATCAAATGATGTGTGAGCACACATGCACATGCGCACGGATGCACAAAGGAGTTTGGTTAAAACTGGGGCGACCTAAGATTGGCAGATTGTATCAATGTTGGCATCCTGCTTGTGGGATTATGCTATAGTTATGTAAAAAATTACCTTTGGGGAAATTGGGCAAAGTGTGCAAGAGATCTCCCTGTATTACTTTATACAACTGCATGTGAATCTCCTGTGACTCAATTAAAAAATTCAAGTAAGAAAGAACCAAATGGACATGTTAAAACTGAAAAATATAATTGAAAAATATGAAATGCGCTCCGTGGGGTGCCTTCACAGAGTCTCTCTTACCCACCCCTCTGTTCAGTTCCTGCTGTTGTCACTCTGGTCCTCATTCCACCTATGGTAAGAACTTCTCCCTGGTCCATGCTTCCTACCTCTGCCCCTCTCACTTCCTTCTAAACTTTGCTGTCAGGGTAATGTTATTTCCCCCCCCCCGCCCCCCCCGTTCATGCCAGCCCTGTTCAAGTCCATCAGAGGCCCATTCCTTCCACAAGAGGACCAGGTCCTTATCTGGCACTGTCCTCCTTTGAGATTTCACTCTGACCTGTCTATCCAGTCTTACTTCTCCCACGTCCCAAAAAATACTCTTTATTCCAGCCATGCTACTCCTCCATCTCTGACCCTGTCCTTAAGATTTTTCTTTTCTTTTTGCCCATCTAGAATGCCTATCTTCAGTTCTTTCTGGCCATACCTCCAGTATGCTCTGGAAGAAGTCTTTTTTCTTTTCTTTTCTTTTCTTTCTTTCTTAAGATTTTATTTTTTTTTTTTAAAGATTTTATTTATTTATTCATGAGAGACAGAGACAGAGAGAGAGGCAGAGGGAGAAGCAGGCTCCCAAGGAGCAGGGAGCCTGATGCGGGACTCGATCCCAGGACACTGGGATCATGACCTGAGCCAAAGGCAGACGCTTAACCATCTGAGCCACCCAGGCGCCGTAAGATTTTATTTACTTGAGAGAGAGAGAGAGACCATGGGGGCGGGGGCAGAAGGAGAGGGAGAAGCAGACTCTCTGCTGAGCTGGGAGCCTAATGCGAGGCTCGATCCCAGGACCCTGGGGTCACGAACGGAGCCGAAGGCAGACGCTTAACGACTGAGCCACCCAGGCGCCCCTGGAAGTCTTACCTGTCCTTCAAGACATATCTCAGAATGTGATCTCCTTGATGAGGCATTAATTTATCTTTGTAACCACAATTATTGTCTTTTTCCTTTGTGTTAGTGCTTATCAATAAATGTCCTCATATTTTAGTTATTCATGCTCACATCATTCTACCATTCTGAATTGAGAAGGTGCTCCTTTCGGGCTGGGACCATGTCTCATTCACGCTGGTGATGCTCAGAGTGCCAAGGATAGTCCTTCACTCGGATGCTTCCTAAGCGAGAAGAATTGAAATGGGTGCTTGATGGAATTTAAAACTGGGTGGAGTCCGTTAGGTTTCCTATTTAAATAATTTGGTTCTCTAGAATGGAAACAGAAGTCTTCATAAGGCGAAGTATTATTTGTGGGCTTCTTCTTTTTTAAAGTGAGTCTGTTTGTGACACTTGGGTGTGGTGCTAGCGGGGCTGTCGTCGTCAGAGCGCTGGGGGCAGAGAGTGTGGGGCTTCTTCCTGTCTCATGTTCGTTTGCATCTGATGAGTGGCTATGATGGTTTGCAAAATTTTTACCCAGAATTCACTATCTAAGTAGAAACTCTGCTGTAACCGATTTGCAGACACATGAGTGAAATCTGTGAGTTGTGTGCAAGTCCTGGTCCGTGTACGGTGGTTGTCCTAGAGCTGCGTGAGTTTTGCTCTCTACCTGCCGGCATTGTGCGGACACACTCATGAGTGTGTGAAGTCAAACAGCTAGGTAGCTGGGCTTTAACTGTTTTACAGAATTTAGAATTCCTTAGTGGATTGTTAAATAGGTCTAAAAGAGACCTTGGTGGTATTTGAGGAAATTGATTGAGGTTTTCAGAGGGGCTGAGGATGCATTCTTTTTCCCCGCCTCTTCACATAATGAAATACTGGATCGGCCCCTGCTGTCTGTGAATTTACTATCTGGCATGTTTCCAGAAGTGGAGAAGATTTAGATAATGAGGGATGTCTGTACTTTAAACAGCAAGTACATTTGTATGTTTAATGTTGAAGTTCTTTCTTGCTGAACATATTTTGTTTCTACATGCTAGGATTAATGACTTCAAAAAAAGATAGCGCTTCTGAATCAACACTTTCATTGCCTCCTGGTGAAGAACCGAAACCCGTAACAGAGAAAGATGGTAAAATAATTTTATAACTTCCATTCTAAAAATCTAATTTACAGATGGAACTTTAATATAATATAGTGATAAAGCTTATATGGGGGCTAAGTTTTAACGTTTTTGAGAGAAAAATCATCCTCGGAAATACCTTAAGCGGCTCATCGTAAAGTGTATACATGGTTTTGGTATAAAATGCTGTGTGGTGCCTCTGTGTACACTTAAATTAGAGGGCTACCAGGTTAAGTCAAACGGGAGACTAAAAGGAAATTCCAAGTATAGATGGCTTGATAAAAATGTTTAAAATTGCCTTCAGCTATCAAATCATTGGGTGAATAGAGCATGAACAACACATTCAAGAGTATTCCTGCTTGCCTTCAGGTTAGCTCAGAACATTTTTTTTAGAAGATTTTATTTATTTATTTATTTGAGAGAGAGAGAG